TAAATGTTTTGTTTTGATATACATAAGTTGTTCGGGTTTTTTCATCTAAAAAAAAGTGACATTAATTTCTTTACGACCTAATATAATCGAAACCTTATAATTTGCTTAGTTGAAGTCTATGGATTTCGAGACACTAGCGCCTGACTTGAGTAAGATAAAACAACAACATATATTTATAAAGTACTACTAGATGGCGCGTTACATGTTATCTCAATGTGCAATAAAATTAGCATAATATATTTTGTAACATTTTAATTTTGCAATTACACTGGTGGAAAACAAATTATTGTATCACTGGATTAGGGTTTATTTCAGTTCCAAGGTGCTTCTTGGTTTCTTTCTTTTGCACTTTATGATGGAGTTGAGATCTGGGAGTTGCCTGGCTAGCATAATGTCTTGATCCTCTCCTTTCAAAGATAGTCTTTCATCTGAAGCAATGAAATAAAACCTAAGATGTCTTTTCAATATACTTAGAGTAAAATGTCCTCTTTATTTCACGTCTAGTGCATAGAGTGCAGGAATATTACCAACCTTTTTAGCCCTATATCAGGGGGCAGGGTCATCCTGGAATGTGCACTGGTCAGCTCCACTGAAGGGATTCAGAATTGTTGGCTTTAATCGGGACTCGAGGATCTCGATGTACTTGTTGATATTTATAGTGTATTTCACAAAATGCAGATGTCCCTCACCCTGGCCACGCGGATGCATCTCCATATCACCTGGATGCTTCACAGTTGTATTTAAATACGCTTTTCCACATCGACGTCATACAAAATAGTTCCCATCAAACCCGTGTAGGTTGAACTTTAATTTGTACAGTTCTTCAGAACAGTCGGCATGCTCTTAGGCCCAAGTGAGCCTCATTTTCCTCATCTTGTGAGGAGGGATTTCTTTCTTGACCGTCTTGCTAGGAAACCGGTTGAATGCAGGCGAAACTGGGTGGGTACGTGGTGAGATTGACCCCTACAGTTTCCTGCCATGCTCTTTTGAGATCTGTGGACGGCAGTCAAGGATCCATCAGGCTCAGGGGTTTCAGAACACGATCGTCAGCTACTGTGGAAGCTTTCTTCCTACCCCTTCCCTTCCGCTTCTCCTCACATCCAGTCTCTCTATATCTCTGCTTCCAGCGACTCACAGTAGACTGGTTGAATTTAATTCTTCCAGCATTCTGCCTTGTCGAAAGTCCCTCTTTGCTCAAAGAAACAATGACTGCTTTTCACCGTGGAGTTTACTCGCAACCCTTAGCCAACCTATAAAACTGCTGATGTAATAATTAGGTAATATTGCATCATACATAAAACATATTTGCACCTACATGCATTAAAGTCTTAAAATAAGCGATGGTTCCGAAGAAAAGTGTGAAAAAATTGGGTATTACTATAAATTTTTCACCACTGTAAAAACTATCAAAACTACAAGCTGGTTAAACGTGTCGTAATAATATTTTTTCGCTAAACGTCAATAGCTTAATAGTAGAAGAAAAAAAAGGGAGTTTAAATTTAGAATTAAAAACAGATTATATTTCTAGGAACAAATGATACTTGAGTTGTTTGTTCAACTGAACGATACCTTATGTATAGTACAACTGGCTAAACAGCCAGGTCAGAAACACTTGTAACCCAGGCCTAGCTGTCCAAGATTTTGAACAGCAGATCAGAGGGAAGACAACCAATCAGCAGCATCTGGTGCCTGAAGCAGATAATCTTAACTGGATAGCAAGATTGGTTTTTCTTTCTTATAACACATCCATGGCTGAAAGTGCAAATCGAGTTCGATAGCATCAAGTCTCGAACCCAGGTCTCTTCTTGTTTGATACTCAGTAAGCCACGCTCAGGCCCAACAAACTTTGCGACGATTTTCAGTCTAGCTTCTGTTTGGTGTTAAATAAGTTTATATTGTTTGTTGTACTCTATAATACATCCCAGAAAGTTGGCATAATACTATTGTCTTTTCAACTTTAAACGCAGACACTCAAATTTAAACATTCATGCAAATTAACTTTGTTCAGATTTAGATTATTATCTTACTAAATGCAGCAATAAGATTTAAAACTGCACGAGGATAATTTACTACACTCGTAGTTTCTTAGTAGAGTCATCAACGTGGAGTTTTCACGTGTCACTGTCTTTTACTAACCACGCTCATAATTTATTAGTAGAGTCATCAACATGGAGTCTTCACCTGTCACTGTCTTTTACTAACCACGCTCATAATTTATTAGTAGAGTCATCAACATGGAGTCTTCACCTGTCACTGTCGTGGTTAGTAAAAGACTCTACTAACAAATTACGTTCGTGGTTAGTAAAAGACAGTGACAGGTGAAGACTCTATGTTGATGCATCAACATGGAGTTTCACCTGTCACTGTCTTTTACTAACCACGCTCATAGTTTATTAGTAGAGTCATCAACATGGAGTCTTCACCTGTCACTGTCTTTTACTAACCACGCTCATAGTTTATTAGTAGAGTCATCAACATGGAGTCTTCACCTGTCACTTTGTCTTACTAACCACGCTCATAGTTTATTAGTAGAGTCACCAACATGGAGTCTTCACCTGTC